TGGCGGTTCAAACCCACCAGCCACTCCTCGGAAGGAAGATGGGCCATCTACTTCCGTAGTGATACTGCCTCGGAAACCCAAGGAGGGGTCACTGAGTCGGGTCCGACTCGACAGCAAACACCACCGCACACACACATTAGGATATATGGCACAGTGAACATTTTTATACTTATATCTAGTTAAAAAAAAATGAAGGTTATTGTTGACATACTGTGTACGTCCTTCCTATCTCATCCCTTTCTCTCTCCCATCAAAGGTAGTAATTAACCTGGTTTTAGTGTCTGTCCTTCTTTTGAGCTTTATTTCATATTTATCCCTAAGTAATATATTATTTAATTTTGCATGCATTTGAAACGTTATATAAACATTATTTTTTTTTTAATGGTTTTTTTTTTTTGCTCAACTTCATATTCTTGAGTTTCATTTGTGTTTTTGTGTATCATGTTCCATTGTATCTCTATACCACAGTTTATTTATTCATTCTGTTCATGGATTTTTATTTATTTATTTATTTGTTGCTATTGCCCATGCCCACAGTTCTACCACAAATATTTTTATTCATGTTTCTGGATGCACATAAGCATGTTTTGCTATACTACATGACAAAGAGTAGAGTTGCTGAGTTTTAAGACGTGCACAGCTTCAGCTTTACTACAGAATGCCAGATTAATTCCAAAAGTGGTTGTACTAATTTCTACTCTGGTCATGAGGGTGTAAAGGTTCAAGTTACTCTTTATTTTGGCCATTTATTCATTCAAGAAATATTTCTTGAGTAACTAAAAAGACAAAAATCCCTGCTTTTCAGGGAGCTATTTTAGACACATAGCTAAATACATATATCAAATATATATATATCAAATGGTGGTATATGCTTTATAGAAAAAATAAAGCAAAAAGAGAGAGTGTTACCTTAGAGCCACATAAGGGTGACGGATAAGGAATGACCGGGACGTCCTGTGCTTCATGTCAGAATGAATAATAGACAAGAGTTTGATGAGATTTGTCCTCATGCATTAATAGATGTTGAGTTTGATGTGCCGACTCGATGGCACATAACAACAACAACAACAACATGCCATAATGGTTCAGAACCATATCAGGGTTACAGATTTCTTTGAGAGTCTAAAAGTATCTACCCTCTCTCCGGAAAAAAAAAAAGAGCCACATAAGGGTGATGGATAAGGAATGACCAGGACGTCCTGTGCTTCGTGTCAGAATGAATAATAGAGAGACAAGAGTTTGATGAGATTTGTCCTCATGCGTTCAAGCGGAGAATAGTAGTGAAGCTGTAAAGTTTGGCAGGAAGGAGATTGGAAATCTTTTGAGGAGCATTTCTGGGGCCCCCTCAGTAGCAGTGAGGCTAAGGAATGAGTGAAGAAACTGGTAATGATTGGTATTATTATGAGCACTTAGTCTCTGGGGTTCTTCTTCTGTCCCTAGTGGTTTGAGGGACTGGTGGTGGGGATGTGGGGTGTGTGTGGTTGTCTGGGACATTGGGAACAGTGGAATTCTCTTGATCTCAGGAATACTTGGAGCTCTGATACTTACTTGACTCTTTATGTTGGAGGAGTGAAGGTTGGGGGAAGTGTGAAATTATCTTGAGCTCTTGGAGTTTTAGGGCTTCTTCTTGACTCCTGTGAATGGAGATGAGGAGACCTGGAAGGGTGGTTTTACCTAGAGCAAGTACAGCTACCGTTGTCAGACTTGTTGATTTTTGCCATTCTGGTGGATGTGAAATGTTATGCATTTGTGGTTTAATTGCATTTCCCTGGTTTCCTTCTAAAAATCCAAAATTCTTTATTTTTTTAATGTCAGACTTACTCCCATAATTTTATATCTGACTTCTTTGTTTAATGAGTGCCAAGATTGTAAGGGTTTTATCCATCATTAAACCATGACTGAACACCCAAGACTCTCATTTCAAAAACAGAAGCCTTTACTCTGATGGCTGTTGTCAACAAGAGCCTCAGGGCAATCTGTTATGCCTTATGCCATCACCAAGTGTGAAGTCATTGAGTCAGGAACCCTGCCTTCTGTCCACTCAGCCTTGAGGTGAATGGGTAGCCTTCACCCAGGTATTATTATTACCTAACCTCAAAGAACGATCAATATGTACACTGAATCTCCATTTCGTCATATATTAGGCTCCCATCAAAATATCGATCCAATATTGTGGTACTGTTGGAGGCTCTTAAGTTGCCTTTTAAACTTTTCCTTTTAAAATCTCAGAATCACAGAGCTGTTACTGATAGTCTGTAATGAAAATGCTTTGGCTGACCACAGCTAAAACTGTAACTCCCTCTGCTTTTCAGTTCAAATCTTTTTTTTTTTTTTTTTAATTTTATTAATTTTGTTATTGTTTTTTCAGGCCAAATCTTTATATAGTTTTAACAACACCCATGGCCTCCTCCTGGTCCTTATCACTCTCTTAGGATCAATCCCTGAATTCACAAAAAGAACAGTGGAGAAAGGCAGGGTTTACATTGTATTCTGATTATTTGTGGCACTCCCTAGATAGCCATCTAGTATTCCATATATCCCACTGTCCCACCTTACTTACATGTTACATTCAGTGTTGTAGAGGAGGAGGAGGATGATAAAAAACAAACTCACTGCCCTCAAGTCCGATATGACTCATAGCTAACCCTCCTTGGGTTTCCAAGGCTGTATCACTATGGAAGTAGATTGCCCAACCTTCCTTCTGAGGAGTTGAACCTCCAGCCTTCTGGTTAGCAGTCAAGTGCCTTAGGCACTTCGCCACCAGAGCATGTACACATTCCACTTAATTTACTAGAGTTGCTCATTGCCTTATTTGCACTCTCATATTTTCAATAATGTAGTAGTGAGACCTGCCCTTGGTTTCTTCTTCATTCTTCAGAAAGATTTCATCTAACTTCTATAAAACCAAACTCACTGCCATTGAGTTGATTCTGACTCATAGCAACCCTCTTTGGGTTTCCAAGGCAGTAAATCTTTTTTTTTTTTTTAATTTTATTTTGATTTGGGTGAAGATTTACAGAGCAAATTCACTTTTCATACAGCAGTTCACATATACTTTGTCTCATGTCATTGACCAAAATTTACAATACAACAGCTCCCCTCCCACTTCCTCCCCATAGCCACCTCTTCCCAGTGTCCATCCCTCCATACTCTTCTGCGCCCTGAGCTGTCTCCCTGTGCATAAGCAGCCCTTCCTTCTCCCATGATTGTTCTCTCCAGGATGTGTGTCTACTTGAGGTAAATGTTCAACTCACTTGCCTGTACTTTGTTTGGCTGGAAACCACAGGTGTGGGTTCAATTCCAGACCTGAAGGGCAGCTAGGGGCCATAGTCTCAGTGGTTTCACCAGGCTCTATTAGACCAGCAAACCTGGTCCCCACCTTCTATTTTTTTTTTTTTTTTTTGCCTCCAAATGATTTTGAGTTTTGTTCCACATTGTTCTCCCTCTCTATGCAGGATCTCCTACATCCCTTCCAAGTGGATGACAGTGGTAGCCGGAAACCATCTAGTTCTTCTGGTCTCATAGTTGTATAGGTTGCAGATCGGATGGTATACCAGTCGCTAGGACTGATTGTTTCCATTTATTTGGTTTTCTTCTTTCTTCTTGACGAGGAGACACCCATTGTTGCATCTAGATGGCAGCTTGCTAGCTTTTAAGATCCCAGTCACTACTCGCCAAAGTAGGAGGTGGAACAATATTTTGTATAGTATGTTATGCCAATTGAGCTTGATGTCCCCTGCCACTATGGTCCCAAGCCCGCAAGATCAACTACTCGGTCCCTCTGGGTAGCTGGCTGTGACCAAGCAATGACCATAACCTTGCCCCTTGTCAGCTCTACTATACACCTGGGAATTCTGATCACTCACATAAACTTATAGGACCATTGTCAAGGCAGTAAATCTTTATGGAAATAGATTGCCTAGTCTTCCTTCCAGAGTGGCTGGTGGGTTTGAACCACAACCTTCTGGTTAGCAGTCAGATGCCTTAGGCTCCACCATAGCTCCTTAATTCCTGTATTTAACTATTAAGAATGTATTATTTAATAATTTTGTAAGCTTTTCACCTGGGTGAATTAAAGCTTATTTTTGAAAGGCTGTCACCATCATTAAGATACACTTTATTGGCGTTATCCTACACTGGGAATAATACATATGATACCCACTTCTCAGAAGAGATATACAAAGACTTCTCAAAGTCTTACCAGATTAAATAGGATTTATATAGACTGTAGTATTCCCAAAGTGTAAAATGCAGGAGAAAGAAGGGAATATAGTCCTAAAAAAATTAAGCTACTGCTAGTACAAGTCTTAAATGAACCAAGACCCTTCCTACTGCCCAAATAAACATAGCTCCTGACAAATAAATTGACTTGAACCGATATTAAATTGTCACAGGGAAACCATGAGACTGAGCCACCTTGACTGATCCAAATAATGTCAAATGCATGTTTCTAATAATAATTTTATGAGCAACTACAAAGCCCATATGAGTCGTTGAAGTTTTATCATTTACAGGTGTGTGAAGCATACTCAGACTCTCCAGCCAACACACCATCAGCTACTTCCTTGTGACCGGGTCCTGATTAAAGTCCTCTCAAGGAAAACGTCATTGGATCCACGCTCAGGAGGACTTTGCTTGGTTTTCCTGACCTTCTGCATTGCCTAAGTGCCAACGCTTTAAGACTTGGGTACGTGTATTACAGCAGCAAGTGTGTCAGCACCAACAAAAGACCCATTGGACTTACCAGTTCCTTTATCTCACCATATAGATACGTTAACCTTACCAACAAAGCAGAGTAAGCCAAGTGCCTCTGTGACACCACCACCAACTGATAACGTGCAAGAAAAACTAAATCATACTAAAGCCCTGTCTTTTCTTGAGAAGCTGGGATTTGAAGGAGATATTCTGAGATCTGTGCTGCTAGTAAGTGACTGATAACGTTATAGACTGCATCGGGTCCCTGAGTTCAGAGACTGAGTTACCATTGAGTGAATAATAGACAACGAAATCTTGAAGAGTTGCACGGAGGTGCAAGCCATATTTAACTCTCCCAAGTTAATGTGGGTTGGACTGAGAAACTGCTAAACCAAACCTGTAATAGGACTGATTATTTGGGTGTTTCTCTTTGCCAGTGTTGCTTCTTGCTGTTACATTGCTTCCTCTGTGTTGCCTTTCTAGGCCCAGATGTTCTCAGATAATTCACATTGCCCTGACTGTGGACAGCAGTGGTTCCCTAGTTTAGAACTAGGCCACTGGTTGTACCAAACCGAACTTGTTGAAAATGAATGTTATCAAGTCTTCTTAGACCGTATTAACAGAGCTGATTATTGCCCTGAGTGTTATCCTGATAATCCTACTAATAGAAGCCTTGTTCTTCCTTGGTCTTTCCCACTTGAGTGGGCTCCCCAAAATCTCACCAGGTGGACTTTTGAAAAAGCTTGCCACCCATTTCTTCTGGGTCCACCCCTGGTTAGAAAAAGGATACATGACTCCAGAGTAGCTGGTTTTAACCCTGCATTACAGTTAATCTTGACCAGAACAGACAAAACCTTAAACAAAAAGCTTGGCCAAAACAAGTAACTTTTAAAATAGTCGAAGTCATGGAGACTGTAGAGAGTTTTGTGTTAGAATGCAAGAGTGATGGAAAAATAACTCATTTCTGAATATGACCTCCAATGCCACTACTTTGGCCTAGGCCTTTCTGCTTACATGGCCTAGGCGTATTTTGTTCAGCATGAACAGTATTACAATCAGTCTATTCATCTAGAACCAAACTAATCCTGTTCCCTATAAATGATGTATTGGAACTATCGTGCCCCCCCAAAAGATCCCACAGCCTAATTATTGACATGTGACACATTAGTCCTAGAGGAGAGGCTCCATAATGATATTTCTAGTGGTGGCTTCAGTGGTGGACCATCCTCACTGTAGCTGGCACCTAGATTATTCCAGTCAAACAACTAGACATTTTATACTTAAAAAAGAAGCTACAGTGTTCTAAATTCAGCCTCTCTTATATTGATCTTTGATGATGGTGATATGTATGTACACAAACACAGACACATACCTTGTTTATTCATATATTCCATGTATTCATCATTGGCTCTGTTTGGCCCATCTTCAGTGTGGCTGTGACATTACTGATAACTGGTCATTGTCAGAGAAATCACATTCTGTCAGGCAACACCTGTACAGGTTACACAAAAACATGCAGAAACTTACTTGGCTATTCATAAGCAAAGACTTCCTGTCTTTGTGGTGACATTGTCCTCCTCTTGGAAATGGGAAAGTACCTGTACTTTAAGATACATCATAGGAAGAGTCATCAGGGTTGTTTCCATGTGTATTATGAATAGTCTAGGGAAACCATCTATCTTAGAACTAAAATGCTCTTGCTAGACTTTGGACACTTTCTGACCTTCACTTGTTAATGAGAATCAGAGAACTAGAGTTGGGGATAAGCAAATTAGCAAAGGCCATTGAAAACATCTCAGAGGTCACTGAACAGGTTAAAAAGTAAATGGTAGGTAATCCAGTGTTGTGTGACAGTTTAACAATATTATCAAGGACCCAGGTGCTTTCTGTTCTTCCCTTCTGTGATCCTTATCATGTTGGTTTTTGTCCTCATTGTTGTTTCCTCAGTATAACAATATGGTTTGTTGCTGCTTCAGACATTTCAATCCCAATGAAAGTCTGGATTCAGGGGGCAAAAGCCTTTCTCCTTTCACGTCTTCTATCCCTTTACTCGGGAAGAAAATGTTTCTCAAAAGTTCCTAGCAGATACCTTACATCTCATTAGTCAGTACTGGTTGCCAAGGGAACCTGGGGTAGCCTGGCAGAAGGGGATGGGGTTGACATTGTCTCCTTAATAAAATCAGAAAGATTAAAGTGGGAATGAATGGCTGGTGGTATGCAACAAATGCCTAACACATGTTGTGAAACCTAAAGTTATCTGTTAGTCTGTATGAAGAATGTACCCTACAGATCCTTCCTGTATCTACTTGATGTCTATCATGATGGAAGTTCTCTCTTGTTATATTGCTGAATAAACTGGACTGCTAAATTGAGTGAAGACTAGTTAGTTTATCATTGACCCTTCATTAAGAACTCCTTCAGTATCCTAAAACTCTTCCTAAAAGTAAACGCTTATTTCGAAATAATGCTTTTGAGGATGGTATTATGATCAATATTATTATCCCCTTAAAATTCTTAGTTATTAGAGAATGCTTATGCTACAGGGACACATTATACTAAAAAATACTTTTATGTATGTGAAAGTTTAAATTTCGGCAAAATTAATAAAAGGGTTTTTTGTTTTTGTTTTAACCAGTTTCTCCTTTAAAGTATACAGACAGATTAGGAAGGAGCTACACCAATTCTAATATGCTTAACGGATACCTGAGAGAGCTTGATAAAAATGTAAATTCCCTGGTCTTTCATCAAAATTTTGATTCTTTAGGCTGCTCTTAGGGTCTAGAAATTTGCATTTTATAAATAGCATCCCGGGAGAGTCTTATGGAGACGGTTTATGGACTATATTTTGAGAAACACAATAGCAGCCCATCCAGGGTGTTTGATTATCTGGTTTCAAAAAAGGGTGTGTGCTAAATAAGCATTCATAATATTGCAAAGTAGTAATATTTATTGTCAAAGTAGTAATATTTATTGTATTTTGCTATGACGTAAAAGATGTGTCATGTCAAACTGAAGGTCACTTGGTATTTCAGGTTATGATTCAGTAAAATTTTTTTATTAATTAAAATAAACTGTTTTATAACCATCCTCACAAACTATTCTGTTTGGTGTTATTATAATCTATGTAAGTATATAAGCATCAGAAAAAAAATACTAATATTCAGAAGGGTACTTTGCCTTCAGACTTGATTACATTATATATCTGTAAGATTGTCAGCTTTCAGATGACAGCATAGGTAGAGCTCATAAAATTGAGCAAGGGAGAAAATTGAGGAAGCTTTGTAGCTTTTCAGCTTAGGTCTTTTTAGTATGACTTCACTTGGTTTAAAATATTGCAGATTATTCTAGATTAGCGTACTTCATAATTGGTATGAATAATGAATTATATTGAAATGTAACTATTTTGCTAAAATTAAATCAGAAATAATCTGGAGGATTATCCATTATTTTAGATTGTCTGAACCATATTAATCTCTACTTCCATAGTGTGACCATTTCTAAAACAACCATTGTGACTAATAACTTATATTTTGGGAGGGCTGTGAGTGAAAGGGTTAATGGAACCATGGTAGGGTAAACTGAAAAGAAAATAAGTACATCAAAAAGGTGGCAGTAAAAGGATGTGACTGGATTAAGATGCATCTCCAAATTACAGGAGAAGGAATCCCAGGCACGCAGGTAGGCAGGCAAAAAAGAATTACATGACATCCAGAGTATATGGCAGTCAACATGGTATAGTTTCCATAAAAGTTAGATGAGCGTACCCCTTCCTTCTCTTCAGTCTCCCCTGGCGGCCATGATATCTTAGGAACAGCTTGAAAACTGCTTATTGTAAAGGAGAAATAATGGACTTGGAGTCAGTTGACCTAGGTTTGTAACCCAGTTCTGACACAATTAAATGACCTTGGGCATTTTAACCTCTCTATCCGTTTTTTCATCTGTGAAAGAGATGATACCTGTCTCATACTGCTGTGGGGTTTGAATGTGATAACACATACCAAGCATATAGCAGATCGGAAGTCTTGAGGACTGGGAATGGTATAGGGAAACAAAGCAGAACTGTAACTCGAGAGAGAATAAATTTTAGAACAAGGATTAAAGCCAATTGCTGAATTATAGAGAATGTTTTAAGTCACTTCTGATGAAGGACAAGATTGGTTTGGGACTGGGGTTGGGCATGTAGTCATTAGTCAGATAGTCTTAGATAAAAATTGAGAGATCTAGAAGGACGGATGACCCAATGGAGAGCCTTGTCACTTTTTTTTGGCTCATTTATTGTTGTTATGTGCCATCGAGTCAGCCCTGACTCATAGCTACCCCTCCTTGGGTTTCCGAGGCAGTATCACTACGGAAGTAGGATTGCCCAACCTTCCTTCCGAAGAGTGGCTGGTGGGTTTGAACCTCCAGCCTTCTGGTTAGCAGTCAAGTGCCTTAGCCACTAAGCTACCAGAGCTCATTTATAATCATAATAAATTATAAAGCAGTGGTATCATAGCACCTGAGCATTTCCACGAAACTGAAATAGAAGTTCAGAAAAGTTGAAGGATCTGTGCATACACCCAGGTCATATGTGTTAGAGGCATAATTCAAACCTAGATTTGAGCACTTCAGATTTAGGGTGCTTTGTATAGTAGTATGTTAGTTATAAGCTATAAAAGTGTCATGGTTAAATAACCAGACTGCCTGAATTCAAATCCTGATGCTGCCACTTACTAGTGTGTGCTCTTGAGTAAGTTTCTTAACCTCTCTACATCTTAGTTTCCTCATCTGTAAAATGAGAGGACTGTTAATAGTCCATACCTCATATTATTATTGTGAGAATTCAGTGAGTTCATACATAAAATGCTGTGCATGCTGCCTGGCCCAGAGGAGGCATTCAATAAATTCTGTCTGGTGTATGTTTTATGTCTTCAAAGCATGGTTGCAAATTGTTTTGAGAGCTGACATACCTTCTTATTTTTATCCCTAGAGCCTAAAATGGCATCATTCACTAAAAAAAAAAAAAAAAAAGGCATATACTCGGCTCGTTGAACTCTACAATATATTTATCATAATAGCTTTTTTATATCTAAACTACTATTCTAAAATGACTGATTCTCTTTTGTTCTTAGCTGCTAAATTTCCTTTCTTCCTTTTTTTTTTTTAAATCTTAATGTTGTGTTTTCTGATACCGCCCCTTTCTCTCTTCCTCCACTCCTTCCTTCTCTCAGGTCCCCAGAGCAAAACTAGAGGTTTTCAGGATAGTGTAGAGGATAGGTGAAATCCTACTATTCTCCCAGCCCCAATTTTGTTCTGTCAGCTTTTCCTTGTCCTAGCTCCTCCCAGCTGGCTGAAATGTGCCTCTATAATACAAGTCCATTGTATGTGAGCTTAAAGAGTCCATTTTAGGCCTTTTCCTTTTTATACTTTTTCCTAAAGAAGTTAGTATTCTTTATTATTCATTTTTCAAAAAATTCTGAACTACCTTAACCATATAAAAAATTATGGAGAATAGTGTAAGAAACACATATGTGTACCCGGATCTAAAATATATTAACATTTTGCCACATGTATCTCAGTTTCTTTTTTTTTTTTTAAAGAAATTTTATAGATACAGTTGAAGCCCATTCTTGTTCCTTCCCATCTTACTCCTTTTTCTCCCTCCCCAGAGGTAACCGCTAAATGAAAGTTGATGTGTATGTTTTCCATGCATTGTATTTTTTTAAATTATTTTTGTGTATATATAAACAACATACAAGGTGATAAAGAATTGAACACTTTCAAAAATGTATTACTCAGTAACACACACACACTATGCATTGATCTGCAGAATTTCCCTTCCATTTCTCAACTGCATATGTTGGAGTCTGCTAAATTGATTGTGTGACTGTAGTGCAAAGACCATTTGGTGTATTGGACGATGAACATCATCTAGGTTGTAAAAGTGTTCACCATCAGTACACGGAGGTGGACTAGAAAGGCTACATCTTTAAAAGACAGCACAAGGCAGACACATGTGCAGAGGAAGAAGTGAGGAATAATATGTATTACTCTGTAGAGAAGTCCTAGGAAATTGAAATTGAGTGAGGCATCTCTCCACCTGTGGTCTGGCACATGTTCCATAAATGGAGAATAAAACTACAGTATTATTAACTTGTCTCAAGTTCTGATGAAAACAGTTAAAGCAAAATAATACATATTTTGCTGCAGTTTTAAGGGTTGCAGAGAAGTGAAGGTAACTGCTGGTCACGAGACTACATTTTATATGAGAAATGAACCGTCATAATGTAGACAAATGCGAGCACTGAAAACTGACATTTCGCAATTGAACTTATAAGGAATTCACTAAAAGTAAGTGTGTTTTTGCTGACTGAAGTACATTTGTCTTCCGTTGGCCCTTTTTGCAAAAGATACCAGTATTGTGTTTTGGGCATGCTAATGAATGGTTTTTCCTACAGCTATAAAAAGTTTCCCACCAATCCCATTTTCCATCAGGATGAGGCTCTGCTTCACTTCCATTATACAGTCCAGAGGTTCCTAATAAGTACACGTCCTAATGTGAGTTGGACATACTGTTCAAAACATTGTACTGCTTCTGGAACAGTGGCCTTCAGATCTCCCAGATAAACTACCATGTGACTTCTTGAAATCTTGAAGAAATGCCATTTCAACTGTGAACAGTGATGCATGTTACAAAAGTCTGAATTAAATGGGCTATGTGATTGATGTGTGCCTTGTGACAGGAAAAGTACATATTGAACATTTGTAAAATTATAGAAATATCTGTGATGGTTCCTTTGCAGATTATTTTTCAGCTGCAGTCTAGTTACAGCATAATAGATTTTTGAAAGTGTTCATTTATGTTTGCAATAAAGTTTATTGAAGATAATCTACATAAAAGTAAATATACAGATTTTCAGTTTGATGACAAGAGTAGACTTCAATGAAGATATGTAGATGAAACATTTCCATTACCCCAAGAGGTTCCCAATGCCCTTTTGTAGTCAGTACCACTTTCCCCCTATAAACTCTAATCTGTTTTCTATCACCATAGTTTGTTTTGCCTGATGTAGAACTTCATATAAAGGAAGTAATTTGGCATATATTCTAATGTCTGGCTTCTTTCTTTCTTTTTTTTTTTTTTAATTCTTCTCCTGCTGACACAAACACTGTGTCTGGCTTCTTTCAATCATATTTTTTAAAATTCATCTATTTGTGGCCTACATGGATGGATAGATCATTTTTATTCTATAGTTCAATTACTTTGAATCCGTATAGTATTATTTTCTTTTTAAAATTTCATATAAAATGCTACAAACTGACTTTCACAATGTCTTTTTGAGATTTAGCCATATTGATACTGTATATCTAATTTATTCATTTTAATTGCTACAAATACTACATTTTGTCAGAATATGCCCAATTTTTTAAATCTACTTCCTTATTGATAGACATTTAAGCTGTTTCCTAATTTATCCTCATTCTAAACAGTCTTGCAACACACATCCTTGTACATGTCTCTTTGGGCACACGAGTGAAAGTTTTTGTGGGATATATATCTTAAAATGGAATTGCTGATTTATAGAATGTATGTATGTTCAACTTTGTTGGCTATTGCCATAATGCCATCCAAAGTTGTTATCATGTTTATCTCGTTGCCAGTAAGGTTTGGAAGCTTTCTCTCCAAATCCTCATTAATGCTTGCTTTGCCTGACTTTTAAATTTTTGGCAAACTGATGGTTGCGAAATGGTATCTGATCATTATTTTCATTTGCATTTCTCTGACAACTTCTATCACTTATTCATTGGACTTTGTTAAACTGCATGTTCATCTCTTTTGCCCACTTTTTCATAGAATTACTTGTTTTTTTACTGATTTATGGGAGTTCTTTATGTATTCTGGATATTAATCTCTTGCTGGCTATATGTGTTGGAGATACTTTTCTAGTCAGTGACTGATCTTTTAACTTTGATTTTGATAACATGTAAAAAATTTCAAAATTTCATTGCCATCAGGTTTATCAAATTTTCCTTTATGTTTTGTACATTTTATATCCTGTGTAAGAAACCCTGGAGGTTATAAATATATTTTATATGTTCTTTTGAGATTTTTAATGTTTTGTCTTTACATTTAGGTGTTTAATCATATTGATTTGTGTGAGTTAGAAATTTTTTTTTTTTTACCCTCATTTGGAGTTTGAGTTGTCCCAAAACTACTTATTTTAGTAATCTGTTCTTTTCCTGTTGTCACTTATCACTTTCCTTTACATATGTATGTATGGCTATATTTTTTAGTTCTCTGTTCTGTATCTTCTGTTTATATGTTTATTCCGACACCAGTACCTCATTGTTTTTGTTACTATGCGTTTGTAACAAGGCTTAGTATGTGGTAAAGATAGCCCTCCTCCTTCTTCAGAATTATCTTAACTGTTCTTGGCCCTTTGTTCCTCTTTGTGAATTTTAGGATCAGCTTGTCCGCTCCATAAGATGGAAACAACAGTCAAAAAAACTGAATTTTGTTTCAAAGTGCATTGAATTTATAGGTTTATTTGGAGAGAATTTTTTTTTTTTTTTAATTAGGATTTGGGTGAAGATTTACAGAGTAAATTCACTTTTCATACAGCAGTTCACATATACTTTGTCTCATGTCATTGACCAAAATTTACAATGCAGCAGCTCCCCTCCCACTTCCTCCCCATAGTTACCTCCTCCCAGTGTTTGGAGAGAATTTGATGTTTAATAGTTTTGAGTCTTACTATGTATGACCATGATATATCTCTATTTAGGTCTCTTTTTATGTCCTTCCATAAAGTTTTCTACTTTTCTCTTTAAAGTTCTTTTGTGAACAGTTTTATTGGGGTATTTACATACCATAAAATTCACCATGCTTGCTTGTGTGTTGCATACCTGTTGTCAGGCTGGGTATCTTACAGTTTTTTTTTTTTTGTTGTTGTTAATATGGTACCTTATTGCTGTTGTGAATAGCATCTTTGCTTTCTAAAATTTTTGTCACTGGTAGTTAGGAAACATTTTACTCATTGTTTTCAGCTGACAGGAAAAAAATTTTTTTAATCTGAAATAAGTTAGAGACTTTTTAATCTTCTATCATGAACCAAGATATAGGGTATGATGGCAATGAAAATATTAAAGCTGGAAGTCCATTCCAAGGACAAGAAATCTTCCACGTCTGAGACATGATGGTAGCAGAAGGAGGTCCTGGCCCTAACTCTTCCCTTCCCTCCTGGTTTATATATGACATCACTCTTCATTCATACATTCATTCATTTATTCATATACTTTTAAATTAACAGTTTTTACTATACGTCAGGCACTGTGCTGGGAATTTGGGATTAAAAATTTTAAATTTTACAAAATAATGCTGTAACGAGCACTAAGAAAGTCAGTGGATAGGTTCTCACTAGGCTCTCAAAAAATGTAATACTTTACAGAGCTCGTCCACATATTTTAGTATTTAATCCTCAAAACAACCCTTAATCTCATTTTTACAGATAATTAAGGGTATAGAAATTACTGATAAATTTGACTAGTGTTGCTTTTGACAATAAGATTTGACTATACAATGAATGATACGCTTATTTTTTAATCATTTATTTTTTTTGTTGTTGAAAATATATATATTAAAACATATACCAATACAACTATTTCCATGTGTACAATTCAGTGACATTGGTTATATTCTTTGAAGTTGTACAGCCATTCTCATCCTCTTTTTCCAGATTGTCCCTCCCCATTAACATAAACTCACTGTTCACAAAGCTTCTAATCTAACCCTTTGAGTTGCTGTTATCAATTTGGACATTATTAATATTTATGGCTTAAAAAGGCATTGTGTTAGGGATATTTGTCTCCATATTTTATAAAAGAATGCTATGAGAAAAACACTTAAGAAGGAAGTACCGTAACTCTAAATGTGTATAAAAGGCATTCCTAATACCTCAAAGCAGCCATTTTAGTTTGTAGGTAATAGCTGTGTGCTATTAGTAAGAAAAACCTAACTCACTGCCATCAAGTCATTTCTGACTCCTAACGACCCTTCCTTGGGTTTCTGAGGTGGTATCTCTACAGGAGTAGATTACCCAGTCTTCCTTCTGAGGAGTGGCTGGTGGGTTTGACCTGCCATCCTTCTGGTTAGCAGTCAAATGCCTTAGGCACTGTGCAGTGAGTATTGAACGTTTCTGATAAGCAGATGACTATGGGAAAATAATATGAGACAGAACTTGAAGACATACAGGAACTCTACTGCAGTTACTACCTCAGTAATGACTTACATTTCTACTCTTAGAATTACTTTTTATTTCAGTTTCAAAGGTGTTCTCTTTAAGATTGAGGCCATTTTGTCTTATTTTATAGTCTTTCAACCATGCTGGAATGTATTACGAGACTGTAGCATCTATGCAAGGTAATAGCCGGGAGGTTTTTCCTGTTTGCCTAGGATTTGAAGTATGATCCTCATAAAGCATTTTTTTTTTCTTCACTAGAAAAATTACAGAGAGGAAATATTACTTAAGATTAAACAGATTTAATAAAGCTGAAATTGACATTTTTACCATAAATGTATAAAAAGTCATTTACTTTTTTGCATTTTATTTTAGTCACTGTATATATGCCTTATTTCCTGGGTCCACGGGAAGCATGAATCTATTGGGACCTGGGACAAGAAGAAAACAAGACATCTTCACAAGGAAAACCAGACACTAACAAAAAGTATCCCAAACTTTGAAGGAGATAGAACACAAACATGACCGACAGTGGACTTAGTGATCCTCAAGAGGGTAAGACTAGTTTATACAGCACTGAGGTTTGTGCTGTAGCAAACTAGGGCTGTGGTAAGAAAATCTCTGAGGAATAAAACTTGAAGTTTTGAAGTAAAAAGAAGCAAATTTAAATAGTATAATCTTTATTAATTTATTATGATTGTTCTTTTTCTTTCATATTTACTGAACTTTATTGTAACATCAGACCATAATAAGCATACTACAAGGAGCTCTGGTGGCACAATGCCTGAGGCATTTGACTGTTGACCAGAAGGTTGGCGGTTCAAACCAACCAGCCACTCCATGGAAGGAAGATAGGGCAATCTACTTCCATATAGATTTACTGCCTTGAAAACCCAGTGGGGGTCACTATGAGTTGGAATTGGCTTGATGGCAGTGGCTTTGGTTTAATCATACTGTGACGAATATAAGGAGCTCTGGTGGCATAGTGCCTAAGGCAATTGACTGCTAACCAGAAGGATGGCAGTTCAAACCCACCAGCAACTCCTCGGAAGGAAGATTGGGAAATGTACTTCCATAGAGATACTGCCTTGGAAACCCATGGAGGGGTCGCTATGAGTCAGAACCAACTTGATGGCAGTAAGTTTGGTTTTGGTTTTTGGTATAATGAATATAAATTTTTTAGAGACTCCAGTATGAGGGGCCTATATTTTTGTAAAAATACAATGCATCTTAAAAAGATGGAAGACAGATCTTTAAAGTTATATTTATAAATTAAGAAAAATGTGGTATGCTGTATTTAGAGGGTATCTTTGAATTGTAAAGGATAAAATTTAAATTTTTCTTTCTACTTACATGTATAAGATATAAAATAGGCAAAATATGAAATAGAGTTTTCAGAAGACAAAGAGGATATATTTACTTTAAATGTTTTATTATGGAAGTTTCAAAATGTAAAAAAGTAGAACAATAAACCTCGCTGTGAATTGAAATTGACTTGATGGCAGTGGATTTAGAATAGTATCACAAATCCCCATGTGCCCAACATCCAACTTTTATCCACATAAGGCCCATCTTGTTGCTTGCTCTGGATTATTTTAATGTAAAGCTTAGGCATTATATTATGTTATATTTAAATAGTTTATATCTCTTATAGATAACATTTAAAAAAAAAAACATATAACCAAATTATCATTATTATACCTAAAAAATAAATTGACAGTTACTCTTTAATATTACCACATATCTAGTCAATATCCAGGTTTCTCCAGTTGTCTTTTTTTTCCCCTAACAGTTAGGTTTCTTTGAATCAAGATCTAAACAAGGGCTCCACATTCCCAATTGTTTGATATATCTCTTTGTGTTGTAGTTGTTTGTTTGTTTCTTAGTATAGAAAATTTCAGACATATGTAAAAGTAGAGAGAAATATGAAATGAACTCTATATACCTACCCATCAACCAGCTTCAACTACTGTCAAGATATGATTAATCTTGTTTGATCTATAACCCCTTTATTTCTCCCTTTGCCATATCATTATATTGAATCAAATTCTGGATGTCACAAAAACTTGAATATGTATCTGTAAACGGTAAGGATTAAAAAAAAAATCACAATACTATCATCACACCTAAAAAGATGAAAAATAAACCCTTAGTATTATCAAATATCCAGTATTCAGATTATCCTAATTATCTCAGAAAAATTTTTTAACAAGTGATCTGCTCAAAACTGTATCTAAACGAGGTTTACACACTGAATTTAGTTGATATGTCTTAAATCTCTTTTAATCTATTAATTAAACCTCCTTTTTTTCTCTCTCACTCACTTTCCTTGCTATTTTGTTTTCTTGCCATTATTGGGGGGTGGGGAACAGTCTTTGTCCTTTGGAATTTCCCACACTCTGGGTTTTGCTGATCACATTCCTGAGGCATAATTTAATATATTCCTTTATCATTGTATTTTTTGGAACTGATTAGATTTAGAGGCTTGATCCATTCAGGTTCACTCTTTGGCATGAATACTTCATAAGTGTATATTTTATGCCCTGTGACATTGTAAAATGAGCTCTGGTGGCACAGTGCCTAAGGTATCTGATTGCTAACCAGAAGGTAGGTGGTTCAAGCCCACCAGCCCCTCTGTAGAAGGAAAAAGGGACAATCTACTTCTGTAAAGATTTATTGCCTTGGAAACCCAATGAGGGCCTCTATGATGGCCGTGGGTTTGATTTGGTTTTATGACATCGTATAAGGAGGAGTCTGGCTGTCCCTCTTTTTCTATGATGTTAAGATTGATCAGTGGGTTCCCATGTTGTCATTCTGCTTCATCCATTATAAAATACCCCCTCAGCCTAAGGGTTTTAGCCGCTACTGATGACCATTGCCTCGATCCGTTACTTCATTAGGGAAGAGGATGTATTTAGTATAATCAGAAGTTAGTCCTGTCATTCAAAATTGTTTTGCCTTAATGTTATTTGTTAGATATATCAATATGATACTGAATTTTGCTTATTTTAATCACCTTTAGTAAGAATCCAGGAAAATAATGTTGAGGAAGACTGGCTTGTGAACCATAAAAATCTATATAAGTATTGCTATTAATTAGGAGCCTTGTCAAACTATAGAAACATAGGGAATTTTTTTCCAATAAAAATTATAACTTTTTATCTCAATAGATTCTCAGAAGGATTTGGAAAATGTCCTAGCAGGAAATTCTCAGACAGAGGAGACCACAGTCACAGCGAGTGCCACCAAAGAAGCTCAGGCCCCAAACCCTGCCTCTGGTCTTCACAAAGACCACCAATGGGTAGAGGTAATAGGTCCGGGAAGTGCAGACACAGGTGATAAATCAGAAAGTCCAGATGAAGCAGCTGCTGGGGAGTACCCAAAGGATGGAACAGAACATGAGAGCAACTGGAGTTCTCAGGATGGAGAGCAAGGGCGTCATTTCCACCCAGGAAGTCCCTGGGAAGAGCTCTTGGATCCAAATCCTAACTGCTCTCCATGTGACAAGGTAGGAAGAGCAGATGCCCAGGTGGGGAGCTGCTCTGCAGCCCTCCCTGAGGAAGTGAGTTTCAGAATCAGAGCTTCCCAGGAACCACCTGCTCCAGACTCCCAGGATGTCCAGGGTCCCGGTCATTCCAGCGCGGGGCTGGCGAGTCAGGACACACTGAGGAGGCGGCTGGCGGCACCAGGTGAGAACCCACTGAAA